ATTATTGTGTATGTTGCAAGCAAAATGGAAAGAGTAATGTTATTCATCCCCAGTAGAATTACAAAAACAGTCTCGGTGGCTCTAAATGATATGTTAAATGAAATGTGATTTAATTTTACATATCATTTAATGCCACATTAGCGCCACCTAAACTGTATTTGTAACCTTAATGAAGATGAATAGTATTACTCAAATGGAAATGGAGAGAAACATTTTCAATAGAGATGTTGATCATACTAATTGTGGACCAGCATGTACAAGAGTGAAAATATAGAGAAATAGTGGAGATGAAAATTTAAATGGACCAATCAAAGTCAAATAGATCAACTCTTTATATATTTTATAAAACATTAAAGTCACCTATCCATTGCTTCTATAATAGATGTACTTCGTCTGCAACAAGCGAAACACAAAAGCAAAGAAAATTCTGTCGTAGTATGTAAAAATTAAGTATAACATCTTCTCCGGAAGTATGTTAAAACTGATCCACAAAGTAAGAGAAAAAAAACACATGGATAAAACTTTTATAAGTATAATATTGTCCGTTTTGAACACAGCTCACACAAATTTGTTCTTGAACTTTCTCCAAAAGGTCTCGTACCAAGTGAGAATGGCCCTTTTCACTTACAAAACGAGTCATATTTTCTTTCACCGGCAGTGTGGAATTATGGCTGTTACCTTGGTCACTTCATCATACCTGCATAAAAGCTAAAGTAGTTGGCTTTTCCTCTGTAATCTTAACCAATCCCACACATTCAGACGTTCTTACAAGATGAATGGACAAGGGTTTGGCTACATGAAACTGGCGCCTTAGACTAACACGGCCATCTCGACTCATTTGTTCAATTGTTCAAAATATAAGACTTTTCTATTCTTCCCGGCAAAATTACCCATTTATAGAGGCGCCATACAATTGTACAATGTTGGATGAAAACATTGGTTGACAATGTTGGTGTGTCAAAAAATTGTTGATTTAAAGACAATGTGTCAACTTACACTATACATAGGGGTGGAGCTTACCCCTCCAAATTTTTGACAAATTTTTTTTTTTTTTGGTTCTTTTTGTATTTGACATTACCATTTTATCCTCAAATTGAATAAAAATTTTAAACCCTACCAATTTTATTTTTCGTCTCCGTCTTTAAAGTATGAACTCGNTTTGTATGTGTCATTACCATTTTATCCTCAGATTGAATAAAAATTTTAAACCCTACCAATTTTAGTTTTCATCTCCGTCGTTAAAGTATGAACTCGAAAGGAACACTTGTAATAAGGTATTATTTTACTAAATTAAATATTGATACATTCTTTTATATGTTTTTTTGTTAATAAAGTATCCAAAAGAAAAATTTTAGGCCCCTCATCTCTATATCTTCAATTCTAGGACCCCCAACTTCAATGGACTGGCTCCGCCCCTCACTGTACACCAAGCATGTTCAATATAGAATGCTGAATGTTTTTAGGGCTGTTGTAATTTCAGATGAATCATGCTAAGTGAGATAATGGTTGATATAATTATAGACATAATGTCACTTGATATCTCCGGTTGAAACTGTCAATGTATTTGATATCATCTTTCTGTCAAGAATCCAATTCAGATTCAGACAGAAATGTGCGGGTATACATGTGATGCCGCCACATTCCTGGACCAAATTAGGCCGGTTTTTCTTCATAAAGCCATCTGTTTCAATTCATGTGAATACTATAGCTTCTTCTCTCCCCTCTTTCTTCCCCCAATCCCACCTCTTCTCGCATCAAATCTTGAAACCTAAGCCTAATCTCTGTCTCTCCAAAACCCACAAATGTTAAATTCGTTTGATCCTCCATTGATCTCCATTTGATCTCGGACTTGAGAGATAGGGAAATTTAGGGGTAGGCTGTATTCATTAATTCAAGAAGTGGGTAAGCTTTTAATTTTTCGCCTTTTCTTGTTTTAGTCATTTATGTTTCATTTTATTGGAATGTCGTTATATGATGTTTGCCTTTCTGTCAAAGAATCTATACTGCTGAATTTTGTCAAAAAAAGGAGAAATCTTTTCAAAATGTAAAAATTAACCTTCAGGTGTAATTGGATTCTTTTAAAAATTATTCTTAAGGTGGGATTTTTCTATTAAGAGTTTCCTTATGTTCTGCTAGATTAGAAATGGGTTATAAATAATAACTTAAGGTACATTAACTATTCCAAGAAACTGAAGAGTGAAGCTTACATATTGTCGTTTAGAACTGAATGACTGTACATCGACTTATTATGATGGAAAAATTAGTTTGGTTTGGGCATATATATTATATTTGGAATGATAAATTTTTTAACCCTCCTCCATTTATCTACCCCATTGTTTGACAAAGGGAGTAAAGATTCAAATCGAGGCTCTACTTTTCTGTTGTTTTGGCAATGCATAGTGTAGGACACTTTTTTCCACTCAATTCACCAAAATCATATCCTTCTATTCATGCCTCGCTCACAAAGAACTACCTTTTTTGAACCCTGAGGGGTTGCTCAATTGGTCAGGCCTTGGGTTTGCTCCCCAATGGTTACCAGTTCGAGTCCCCTCAGGGCCACTGAGGTGAGTATCTTGCCGTAAACTTCAGGCCCCCGTGGAATTAGTGGAGGTGCGCGCAAGCTGACCCGGACATCCACGGTTATAAAAAAAAAAAGAACTACATTTTTGATGTTTTTGCAATCTTTTTTGATGTAATACATCACTACGTTAGAACAAAGCATTGGTCTAACTGGAACTTGAGCTGCATGCCAATTGCTTGCACAGATCCATGATAAATAAATCTAGAATGAAGTTACCTATAGAACAATAATAATTCTAATTTCTAAAGGAAATTGAACTGTTTGTGCTTTTGCAACTTTAAATTTTCTTCTATGCCCCATCGTCAAATCACCCCTCACCCCTGCACGTGCCTCTGTGTTTGTGTGTGTGTCTCTGTGCAGATGTTTCTGTATGTGCACATACTCACATGATGTATGTGATTGTGTTTTTTATTTGGACATAATCAATGTTATCTCTTGCCTTAATTTTGTTAGGAAATCAGCTTTATTGGATGCTAAATGACAAATATCAATAAGATTTGTTGAACCCTCTTGATAGGACACAATTTTTGCAGA